TCGTGGTTGTTTTCCTTCCAGTCATATTGACTTTTGGCAGTGATGAGGTTAACCCATCACACGATTTTCTGTGGCCAGGTATGTAACCCAGCAAGGTAACTCAGTGGGTTTCCATGGCCATGGGGAGATTCAAACCTTGGTCTCCAGAGTCATAGTTCAATGCTTGAACCATTACTCCATACTGGCTCATTGCCCCTCATCCCCAGGTAATTTACCTTCTTTATACCTTTGGAAGTATTCAACCTCCCCTGGTGTAGAAACCTTGGTATATAATTTCAATTTCTATTCATCAACCATGGAAAATATGGAACCTAAGCTGTATAGCAAGGATGAAGAACTCTCAAACCTCCAGATATTTTGTATTTCAAACTCCAGAGGTCCCAGCCAAGCATAGCCATAGCCAGTGGTTGTGGAAGTTGTAGTCCTATGCATCTGAAAGGCCAAAAGTCATCCACATCAGCTGAACAGGCAGTTATGGTACTTGGAAACCTACATAAGAAAGCCTTTCTCAAATTTAAGCAGGTAGTTAATATTGGTTTCATTCCAGTGTCTTTGTCTGTGATGTGTCTTCTTTGAGTACACCATGGAAAAGAAATATGAAAACTCAGCCTTCTGCAAAGCAGTGCAATTTGTTTATAAATTATAAATATTATCTTTGTAAAAAAAAACCTATGCTTAAAGAAATAAATATTGCATTGCTCATTCTGTATCTAATAAAGATTTCCTATTTCTTTATCCGTGCTATTGCTGTAAAACGTTTTTCTTTCTCCCTTTCACATGGTACTTGTTGGCATGTCCATTGTTGCCGTTGCCAAGGCAGAGGTGAGCAGCTGTGACTATCCAGATATTTTTGGACTGCAGCTTCCACTGTTCCTTACCTATGGATATATTAGTTATATGATGTAAGCAACAAAAAAAAAGACAGAAACAAAAAACTTGTCTGGAGGCCATAGTTAGATTGCTGGTATAGTCTGAATTTTCCAGTACCTGGCTAATCATCATAGCAGCCAATAGATACCCTGTTTCCCTGAAAATAAGACATACTAAAAAAATAAGCCGTACCTGGATTTCTAAGCATTTGCGCATTATAAGCTATACCCCGAAAGTAAGACATGGTGCTAGGTGTAGCTATGCAATGTACAAGGTCCCCATCAGGTCCCGGGTCGTTCTGTAAGTACTGCATGCTGAGGCATAGAGGGAGACACAGAAAATGAAACGTAAAAGTCTCCTCAGTGAAGCGAGGAGCAGGAAGCTCTGCTTTAGATATTGTGTGTCCTCAGGGGGAAGAAGAAAAGCTGTGGTTGCAATTTTACTCAGCACTGTGGGTCTCTCTCCCCCAGCACCAACCAGCAGTCTGTGGATCTCTCTCACTCCCCATAAACACCAGTACTGCTGTTGCTCTCCCGCACTGATCAGCAACAGTCTGTGGGTCTCTCTCACCCCACATAAACACTAGGGGATAGGGGAAAAGCTTCAGCAAGCAATCTGCTACTGATCTCTACTGAACCCAGAGAGATCATCCCACGAATGAAGATTGTTGTACCATACTTAATAAAAATAAGACATTCCCTGAAAATAAGCCATAGTGTGTCTTCTTGAGGAAAAATAAATGTAAGACAGTGTCTTATTTTCGGGGAAACGCGGTATATCCCCAAACCTGAGAACTACCCAAAAGTGAAAGAGGTTCGTGTGAGATCAGCTGCATATTAGTACTATATATAATGAGATTCCCAAGATTTTATTCAGTCTTACATTGAGCCTTTTCCTGTGGCAGATGGGCAACAACTATTATAGAAAAACAAAACAAAAAGCCAACACCTTCAGTGGACTGGAAACAGGGCCAGGCTATTTTGGACTCATCCTTGTTTTCCACCAGATTTCAGCGAGACAAATCTTGGAATACAATGGGCGAAGAATCATTTGTCCCCAGCAGCTTCCCTGTAGGTTGTTTGAATGGATTTATCGCCCTGAACTGGGCCCAGGCCATCTGTTACATCCTCTAATTACAAATGCGGAAAGAAGTAATTCACAACTGCATCATAAAAAAAGTGAAATATAAATGATTTAAGGGCGAGGGTATGTCATGTTTCATGCACCAATCAGGACTAAATGGGCTCCTCTTCTCGACAGACCAATTTCCTTGCTAAAAGTATCCAGTTTCTTGTAACAAGGGAATCAGCCGAGAATCCTTCCCTCAGCAGCCAGCAATGTATTATGCTTCGCAGCATTTGTGATAAATGGTGAATGAGCAATAATAAAGTATTGCTTTCTAATTCTCCTTCTTCATTACACTATTACATGCTCTTTCAATAACATTTTTTTCCTTTTCTTTATGTGCGTGTTTTACCCAGAGCATGTTGTTGGAAAAGGGAGGTGCAAAATAGAAGGGAATAGTTATGGTTTAAGCCAACAATATTTTCAAGGCTACATTTTCAAAATTAATTTGAAAATATTTAATCAAATAGATGTTGCTTTATTTCAGTAATGATTTCAGATTCCCATTTGCAGGAAATCCCAGTCAGTCATGGCCATATGATCAATAACCACATTTATTGTCCTGGGGAAGCCACTATGAGTCATTCCTTTGGCCTCAAATGGCTTAAGCTCTTCCTCTTAGGTTTGTATTTTTCAGAGCCAGTTTTTTACCTGACAAATTTCCCTTCACCCAGAGTCTCCAAAGATTTAGATGCCTTTCAGATGATAAATATGGTCTTTTTATTCCAATTAGTTTGAGTAGCTAGAAATACAATAAGATAGGACAAGATAATCAGTGTAATTGGGTGGGGGAATTTGATTAACATAATGTTGCATAGATCTTGAAATTCAAGCTCCTGAAGGTTGGAGTCAGATAAGGCCCTTCAAAAAAATAAGGAAAGAGCTTGTTGGAATTAGTATCCCTGGCAAATGGAGTAAATAAAGTACACTAGTTCTTTCCTGATTTATTATTTGCTTTCTGGATAATACCGGAGTACAGACCAGGAAAGTGACAGAATATTCAATGGCCCTTTGGTACAGCGCTGCCAAATTTGCAAACACCATTGAGAGTTGTTCAATGTATTGTTGAAAGCTTTCATGACTGAAATCACTGGATTGCTGTGAGTTTTTCAGCCTGTACAGTCATGTTCCAGCTGCATTCTCTCCTAATGTTTCACCTGCATCTATAGAAGGCATCTTCAGAGGTTGTTTTGGCAGTGAGGCAAGTGGAGTGTATACCTGTGGAATGTCCAGGGTGGGAGAAAGAACCTTTGTCTGTTTCAAGCAAGTGTGAGTGTTGCAGTCGGCAAGCTTGAATTAGCATTTGAGTAGCCATGAAATTTGTAAAGTCAGTCAGTGAGAGTATCTGCATAAAGGTAGCCTGGCCTTTGTTGCCTGGAAGCATCCTCTGTTAGCCCTTGATTGCTTGTTGTCTAGTTTCCCTTATTATAATAATGCTGCTGAAACATTGCCATACAGCCCGAAAAAACTCACAGCAACCCAAACACCACTGAATTTGTGTGGTCTATATGATAGAAATTGGGGGGGGGGGGGAGAGAGATCTAATTTTCTTTGGAAAAGAGTCATATAAACAACTCCTGCCTTTTCTGCAGCCAAATCATGGCTCTGGGAGAGTTCCATGTGTGCGATTATGCTTGAAAGCAAGATGTGCATTTCATGTGCACCTTGTTTTCAAAGCACTCATACCACCAGCTGTGGTCTAAAAGTACTGTATCTGCAGTGTGATTGTGGAGAGATTATGACAAAGAGCAAACCTTCATGGGTACATTCTGAAGGTGTGGTTCCCAGACCATGGATCATCTTGATTGCCCTTCTCTGGACATGTTCAAGTTTGTCAATATCTTTTTTGAATTGTGGTGCCTTAAATTGGAGACACTATTATAGATGAGCTTTAACAAAACCAGAATAGAATGGCACCACTACTTCCCTCAATGTGGACGTAATAGTCCTGTTGATGCAACCCAGAATTCTATTGGCTGCATAACATTATCTGAATAGATCTTCATGTTTTGTCTGGTATTCAAAGCTAGGTGTCTTATGATGAATGATCTTTTTTGGAAGGGTCAATTTCTCCATACACAGAAAAAGAGAGAAAGAACTCTAGAATTTGTTGTCCCTACCTAGTTTACAATTAGTACTACTGTACTAGTAGACCCAACTAATTATTAGGTGGTGTGCACATTTTTCCTATGTGCAGTATTGAGTACTACTCAGTGTTGAGATCCAATTTTGGCAGCAGTGCAGGCTTTTGCATGCATCTAATTTCTACTTCATAGGACCAAAAATGATATGATGGGAGCCATTTTTATTTTAGTTATATGTTTGACACATTGACATTTAGAGCAATGAATATCATGTCATTTTATTTATATGAAAAAGAACATGATGGTGGGAAACTTGCCCTTGCTCACTTTACTTTTCTGTATTCTGCAACTACATGTTGTATCCTTGTCCACAATACTTCTCTTCAAGGATGGGAAATGGTTTGAGGAAAAGTATCTCAACCACTGGGCATAACTGAACTGAGCAAAGGAGAGGAGATGGCTTCACTGTCTTCCCCCATGTGCAGAGTTTAGGAAAGATATGCTGGCCATCTTAGCGGGGGGGGGAGACGACGACTGGGAATTGCAGTAAAAAAAACCCCAAGATCTCCCGTGTGCTGTATTTCATGAACGTACCTTTCATATGAAAACAAGGTCATACAGTAAACATTAATGGGTGCCTCATCACATCTAATTCAGTTTTAAGATAGTTTGCTTATTCCTTCTGCTTTGGCTACATGTCATTCCCATTAACAATGAATGGAAGTTACATGGTTGCTAACAGAAAAAAGGGCATTAATCAGACATTAGACTGATTTATATATAGCAAAGATAAGGCAAAATGCAAAAATTTCACCAGTACTGAAATGAATTGCAAGGAAAGATCTCCAGCTGTTAAATGAATGTCCTGGTGGTCTGTGAAATGTTAAACCAACATTTTATGAAACATTAATTAGCAACCACTTTACAAAATCTTCTTTTATTCTAAGCAATGCATCAAAGACACGCATAAGACTTGTCCTGAAATTCTGTATGAGGAAAACTAAAGAGTTTTCTGAGTGGCAAGACATTAGAGTTTCAGATTTTTTTTGGTAGGGAAACGACAGGCCCACAGCTTCTTCCAGACTGGGTTGTGCACACAAAGGTGCAGTACTTGGCACCCAGATCAGGTCTGAAATAAATCAAGGAATTCACTCTGTGCAAATGTAATAAAATGAATTGAGAAGTTTCTTTTTGGTTGTGATGAAAAGATCATGAAATACGGCGATAGCGATCTGCTTCTGGACTTCCCTCTTTCATCAGGTGGCCTGGCTCGTACATGAGATCGACAATAAATACTCGAGGAGGAAGCAGGAGTCCAGGTATTCCCAAAGGAGAGTCATCAATTAATTTCACCTCATTCCATGCTCTGTTGTACTCGCCACGGACTAAGCTACAACTAACGCCAATTCTGTCCGCCAGAACCTATCGAATGAAGCAACAAGATGATAGTATTAGTTATTACATTTATAGTGTGCGTTTTTGCCAGCTGTCTTCAGGAGCATTATAATTTTAAATGGCTCTCTGCCTTTGAACAAGCCACAGTACAAAAGGAGGGATGGGGATGAAAGAGGAATGGAAGTGGAAAATAAGCAACCAGGTACTATGCCTGTTGCTGGAGACCTTTCTGGAATCCGTAATTGGTGCTTAGAAGGCAGATATAAGGGGCCTATGTGCCTCAGTTCCCCCAATCCAGCTAGAAGGAATGGCCAAAGATGGGAGATAATTCTTGGAAGGGTAACATGGAGGTGTATCAGCTTTCAAAGGTAAACCAGAGAGCTTGGAAAAGTTGTATTTCAAGTACGATTCCAGAATGACCAGTACCAATATTCACTGGAAGATTATGAGTTGCAGTTCTTAGCAACTCTAGGTAAACTATATGAGATGAATAGGCAAATAAAACATTTGATGACAATACCATAGTTTACATATTCTTCTGCCCCCACTTGTTTGTTTCACACTGCCACAGACTTCAGGTGGGGATTTGAAAAATTGTATGCCCTTAGTGTCAGCAAAACTGAAATCAATATGTATAGCTAATTAACCCTTCAGAAGGATGCCTAGCCTTATTTTCTCTACATCCTATTTTCTTTATTAGGGGATGTACTTTTTACCTAAATGGCAACATCAATTCACTGCCCCATATAAGTGGTACAATGTTTAATGTTTACATTGGTCCTATCCTTACTGGTCCTCTGTGCCAGAAACAGGATGGTCACGTCAGAGAGCTGCATTTTTGCCTTCCTTTCTCTCTGGCATGTTCATTTTCTACATAGAAGAGGTGAGAGAAAGCTCAGAATTCCCCACTTTGAAATGGGAAATCACAGGAAGACAGTTACATCTTTCCTTTTACAAATTGCTCAGCAAGACTGCCCTGAAATAATTATTGAGGAAAGACTGAGACACTCCTTTGGACATAATCTATTTCCACTGTGTTTGAGGAATTTTATAATTTTTAATTTTTTTATAATTTTATTAATGAGATTTGTATGCACAGTTGATTATACTTATGTCATTGTATTTATACTTATGTATTGTTGTCTGCATGTGGCACTTGGAGTGTTTCTGTGAGCCGCCCTGAGTCCCTTTGGGGAGATGGTGGTGGGGTACAAATAAAGATGATGATGGTGTTTATTATTATTATTATTATTATTATTATTATTATTATTATTTTAATACTTTGCCAAAGAGATTCCCATTGGGGTCAGAAAACATCCTGCAATTCTCACAGGAGAATTTTTTTTAATCCTATGCATGTGGGTTAATATTTTGTGAGTGCTTTTTCTTTAAACCTGCAATGAGATCTATGATACAGGGCAGGATAAAAATAAAAGAAAAGTAAAAGCAAAGTTTATGCACACCATGTACTACACATGTGTCTATATTGCTTTTTCAAAACATTTCCCAAATGTCACTGTAGGAATCTTTATCACAACCCAGCAAGTGAGGTCAGTTTGGTGATCTCCATAATGCAGGCAAGAATTGAGGATGTGAGACAGTAGTTAGTGTCTCAGTGAGTTCATAGCTGAAATGAAACTTGACCCATGGCCTTCAGATCAGAACATGACACCAGTTCTGAAATAAACCACTTTGTCACTGCAGCTTGGTCACATCTTAAATGGTGCTCATTCTTAAAGGTACAGGAAGCACCCTTAGTCTGATGGGAAACTAACATATCAAAGGATGTAAGTGTACAAAAAATAAGATACAATCAAAACTGGCAAGCTGTTGTTGATGTATATCCCCATGTCAATCTGCATATCAACATTAAACAAGAGGAATTGTAGTAGCACGTAGGTAACTGGTTGACATAGCTTAAACATCAACATCATCCTCTATACTTCACCTTTTCTCCAAGACCTGGACAAATTAATGCATTACAGGCAAATCATACAAATGGCTGACATTAAAACAGAGTTAAATTATTAACAACATAAAAAACAATTTAAAGTACACAATTAAAATGATAAGCATTTTTAAAATAGTATATCTTAAATAATATGGCACCCTCTTAAAAGCTCTTTCTTTAAGACCTTCACTTCTCAATAATCTGTGGGAAAGAATAGGCAGCAAGGAAGGGGACTATTTTGCCTTTTATAGGAGTGGCAATCTTGTTGGTAACGAGAATAAATCCAGTCAGGTGTTGAATAATGTCAACATAAGGGTAAATTCAACTGATTCAATGGATCTGCTCTAGTCATGGGCAATACCTGGATTTAGGCCATGGCCTGTTAGATAGCCTAGATTTCACCTGTATAATTTGTGCCTAAAAACAGACTGATGGCAGATAGTGGAGATCTTGTAACAAGTGAGTTATTTGGTATGCTGTACCTTGAAAAGTAAAGCTCTGTGATAGAAGGTCCCTTGGTTGATCTTCCCAATAGGTACAACATTGCATTTAAGCTCATATTCGATTTCACTTATATGAAGTTCCCAGCTGAATTCGTGTAACTTGTCTCTTTCAATTGGACCACCCATCTTGTCTGCAACAAACCTATTTTACAGTTCAACAAGATGGAAGCAAGTCAGCCACTTTCATAATATGCATTAGAAATAACAATAATACTGCTTCTACAAGACTGTCTCTTTAGAGGTTTGATGACTCATCATGACTGGGCAGGACATTTCTTCTGTTCTTATATTCCAAGAAGCTTCCAATGTTTGCAGGCTCAAAGTGGGTGAAGGGCACCTTTCCTTAAAAAAAAACCTACACAATGCAAAAATTGGAGGACACTCTTTGGAAACATTCTGAGAAAACAAGCAAAGATTTATTTTAAAAATCTGGGGTTTGCTAATAATATAGGGAGCATTCATGTTCCTTTTTGTACACCCTTTCTTCATTAAAAGACAGAAATGAACACTTCCATGCTTAATCAGAGATTTAAACTGGTTTACTTTACTGTACTACTCTATTAGTTCTTATCCTTGACTCTTCTACACATGACATAAAACCCTGACAAAACCAGAATTTGGGGGGCGTGGGGGGGTAAATAACATTTTGTGAAAATGCATGCTGAATTGGGTTGGAAAGTTGCACTTAAAAGTCGATTCTGGCCAAAAATGTGCATATTTGTCTGACTGTATATCTCTGTAGTCATGAAAAACATGTAACTCCCTTCCTATACCCTGATGTGGACTGCTTTAGTGCATGTGTGTGTTTTAAAAGTCCAAAACAGCTGATCAAGGCTGTTAAAATTGGAGCCAGGGACACACAGGTGGCTAAATGGAAGCACAATTGGAAAGCAATTACAATTAGAACTCCCTGTAACCTTGCCTTTGTTCTGATCTTTATGATATTAAACAGAGCTTGAATTTATAGTTGGGTGAGGAGAGAGAATAAGAAATCTGCTTGTGTATACACACTTCTGCCAGTTGTCCTCTGTCCATCTTGCGGATTTGTAAAATCTGCTACAAAGGAAGGTGTCAGGACAGCAGGGGACCATTTCCCAAGACTGACAGGCCCCGTGATTTTAAAACCCACTTATTTGATCCTCATTTTGACTTTGTCTGAAAGCAACCCAAAACATTACTAGAGTACAGTTCCATTCACTGCAGCTAGCATGGATGGTGAATAGGGCTAACGGGAGTTGTAGTACATTTGGGGACACCAAAATTTGGAACTATTAATACTTGTCCAACAACTGTATCAGATTGATTTTTGCTTTGTTCCATTTGGCTACTTCTTATACCATTCTTGTCACTCAGTAAAAAGGTCTGCTTAATTAAAACGGGTCACTTCCATACAAGCACTGCCAATACAGCTTCCAACACTGATAAGATACAATACTGCCCTTAAATTTTATGTATTACATCAATTGTAGATGCTTTTTATTTTTATTACTCATTTTTCTGAATATGCTAAATATTGTTAGGCAGATTAAAATGCTAATGCTTTTTCTTCTAGGTCATGCTGTTATGTTATCTTTATAGACCAAACCAGTGCTGGCTGTTTTGGAAAGTAATTCCCATGCATAATATCCTTTAAAGATACATAAAATGTCTGTTTATGATGTTGGCTAACATGCAGCCTGCTGTGTATGAATACCCTAGATGAAAAAGAAGCTACCTTTAGGAAGAAAGGGTTTCTTATTGCCTTTGTTTTCCCTAAACCTAATTAGCTGTGAGAATCTTATATGGAGACAGACTGATAAGTAGCTATGGTGTATACAATGGGATATAAATACATTGCAGCACTGCAATCCTGAGCTCAGAAAAGGGTTTGTGATGAGCTCATCAGAGGTGTCAAGCAGAAAACTGAAATGTTGGTTGGTCCTGGACATTTACAACCGTCACCACCAGTGTGAAAAAAGGAATAATAATAAATAACACAGGTTGAGCCTTCCTCATCTAAAATGCTTGGAAAGAGAAATGCTCTGAATGTTGTATTGTTTTAGATTTTGGCATAGAAGTAGCGTGGTATATTACTGTAAGTGTGAGAGTGGAGAGCTGTGGATTTGCACCATGCTTGGGTTCCCACAAACATAAATAGAAAATGAATGAGACATGCAGCTGGAGAAACAGTATTTGTGAAATGGTGGGAACCTAAGCATCATCTTCAATGCAAATCCATGCCTCTCGGATTTCATAGATCCTCATGTCTCTCTCCAGCCCCATGTCTCTCCCCAGCCTCATGTCTCATTTGTTTCCTTCTTTGTTATGTATGAGGCAAGAGGCTGATGAGAGACTGAGGAGAACTGAAAAAATACAGGAACCACTAAGCAACCACTTCCACATTGCAAACGAACAAATAAAACAACACAATAGGGAATGTGACAGCACAGAAAGATGTGGACTCAGTGACATGGCATTCCAACTTAATTCTGGCCATCATACAAAATATTTCCTGACTTGATACAAATCTTGTACCCTTCATAGAGAATCCTTATCCTTGTCCTGTCAACTGGCACCTCCAGAGGCCACTCTATAATAAAATTTAAATAGGTTTTAGATTATTACACTTTTTAAACTCCAATTAAGAGTATCTTAACATATCCCCAAAATTAGTAGATGCCACAAACTACTGAATGACTGGAGCAGTAGGTTCAGCACATAACTTGAGGGCAATGACCCAACTTGTGTGGCAGTTAGATTATCATTCTGCCAGCTCTATACGTCTCTCCATTCAATTCCCTAAAGCAGGGGCTGGCAACTCTTCCCTCTAGATCAGTGGGTCTCAAACTGTGGGTCCCCAGATGTTTTGGCCTACAACTCCCAGAGCTCCCTGTCAGTTTACCAGCTGTTAGGATTTCTGGGAATTGAAGGCCAAAACATTTGGGGACCCACAGGTTGAGAACTACTGCTCTAGATAGTTTAGGTCTTCAGCACCCAGATGGTCCAGCCACTATATCCATAGCCATAAGTAGCAGACCCTTTCCAGTAGGGATGCCCCAATGGTGGGACTCTCTTCCTTGTATAAATCTTCAGGCAGTTTTTAGGTAAGCTTATGGAGAAATCCCCCAACAGCTCAAAAATTGTCCCTTCCTCATTTCCAACTTGGCAAAAATGTAACTTTTAAAAATACCTTTCAAGACTATCTGTTTTATTTAGTTTTTAGTTTTGTTTTCTGGATTTTTTTTTAAAAAAAGAGACTGTCATATGTCTGTTTTGTGAAAGAAATGCAAGCTACGAGGGTTTCTACAGTAATTACAGCAGTAAACAATGGATGAGCTCTTGATAGCAATGTCAAAGTGAGATACAACACAACAAAATGTTGCTCAATAGTTTTCAAAATGCATTTTTATCTACTTATTGCACATTACAGCAAGTGCATTCCAGTACTCACTGTGCAAGTTGTACAACCTGTTCTTTGGTGGTTGCTAGTGGCAGAATTGTTTTGGAAACTTCATTGATGTAATCTTGCAAAACTGTGTCAAGAGGAGGAAGCCATACAACCTTTTCAGGAACTTCTTCAGCAATTTTAGGCATAGCAGGCTCCATGTCTTCTTCTTTGGGTTTCTCTTCCTCTTTTTTCCCTTTCCCTTTTCTTTTTAAAAAAGACAACATGGGTTTGTTTGAAATGTTTTTTCTAACAGAACCCCGATTTTAGTTATCATAGGCAAGGGGGGGGGGGATGCCTCTGTGTGTTAGAATTTCCTGGCAATAATATCATGTGTAATCTTAATTTGCAATGAAATTGGATGTTTTTGTGCTCTCAGAAATATTTTCTCATTTAATATTTACCAGTATAGGACTGACTCTCCCAAATACAAGTAATATGCCTAGAAATCCAAAACGCTCCAAAATCCAACATTGTTATGGTGGCTAAGACAGCAATTCACAACTTTATTTTCTGATGCTTCAGTATATACAAACTTGGTTTTGTGCATAATATTATTAAATGTATTGTGTATAAAATTACCTTAAGGCCAAGTATTTAAGATGTGTGTGTTTGTGTGTGTGTGTGTGAGAGAGAGAGAGAGAGAGAATTTGATTTTCTTTTAACTTGAGTGTCATCGATATCACCCTGTGTACAGTACAATCTCACTTATCCAACCTTCGCTCCTTCAATGTTCTGTATTATCCAATGCAGTCTACCCCCTGCCTGGATCCACAGCTGTTTCAATACATTGCGATGTTTTGGTGCTAAATTCGTAAATAGAGTAATTACTATGTAACATTACCGTGTATTGAACAGCTTTTTCTGTTGATTTGTTGTAAAACATGTTTTGGTGCTTCATTTGTAAAATCATAACGTAATTTGACATTTAATAGGCTTTTCCTTAATCCCTCCTTATTATCCAACATTTTCATTTATCCAATGTTCTGCTGCTGGCCCATTTATGTTGGATAAGTGAGACTACTGTACTTATAAAATACAGATATTCCAAAATCCAAAAGAATTTAAAATATAAAACATTTAGATAAAGGATACTTGTCTTATAGTTCCTTGTCTCTATATAGTTACTAATCAAAATCCTAGAAGACCTGGATTCGGAACCCTAACACACTTTTGAGGCCCTGGAAAAGTATGGTGAAGATGAATGGCAACTCTCAAAATTCTCAATATGCGGATCTTACAGATGACCATTTCTATTCACTATTTGGGGTTCCATAAGATCACTGTCATTCTCTAAGGAAGTTAAAGTGAGTTTGTATAAGCACTGGCAAAAATCCAAGAAGCAAGGGCTCCATGTCTGTGTTAGCATTTCTTTATCCCTTTTGAAATAGTGGCATATGCAAATTATAAGCATATCTGGTTTCTCTTTATGACTTCCCCTCTATTCTCCTGTATCTGCTTTTAGAATGTAAACTTCTTCATAGATGGTACATCAGATATAAAACACGAAAATAGTAATATGCTCAAATGTTTGCACTCTTGCAAACATCTGCACAGGTACCTTGATCCTTTTTCTCTAGTGCTTCCTTTGCTGATTGAAGCAGACCTTACGGGAGATTCTGGCTTCTCGTCCATTGAACTATCAAAATTAAAAATGTCTCTTTTACTTCTGTAAGGCATAGGAATTCTTAAAATGCAATAGAAATATCTTCAGATATTTTTCAAGGACAAAGGAAAGGTCATATAAAAACAAGTGGTCTTGGAGGACACTCCCCTCTTCTTTTGTACCCCAAATCAAATATTGAAAATAAATCACTTTTCTATAATATCTTCCTCTCGTTTCTATTGGTGTCTTATGTGCACATGACTCATCAAAATGGATCTGCTACCATACAGATTGTAACTACTTTTGGTTTATGAGCACCCTCCTAATTTTCAGCAAGTACCATCACCAAACATCAACGTCTTCATTACTTTGCATAGCAGCCAGAGGAAGAAGGAAGCAGCTCTGAAAATTGCTGGAGGAGGCCAAAGGACCGATCCCTCACTAATGACTCTTGATTCAAGAGAGACTTTGCTGACTGGTGGACGTTTGCTCTGGTGGTGAATGTTTACTCTGCATTAGTGTTTTGTGTGATGGGGTGTTGTTTCTCTTTCTCAAAACAGCCCACAAAAATGTCAAATAGAAAACATTATTTTAAAATAATTGTGTTGTGGAGGCTCCTTCTTTGGAGGCTTTTAAAAAGAGGCTGGATGGCCATCTATTGGGGGTGCTTTGAATGCGTTTTTCCTGCTTCTTGGCAGGGGGTTGGACTGGATGGCTCATGAGGTCTCTTCCAACTCTACAATGTTATGATTTTAAAACCATTTTAAAACATTATTTCTCTTTTAAAAAAAAATGTTCTCTACTAAATTGGCTCTTTCTTCCGACATACGCAGAGGACATACACAGAGGAAAAAGTGCCATTTTGTACATCAAAGTATACAAAATGCACAATGTTTATAGTATAAAAGCAATGATTCCATAGTATTGAGACCATTCAAAAACAAAGACCAAATATGGATGAGGTCTTGCATTCAGGATGGCTAACGACTAATGAATTACCACTCTGGCAGCAAATAAACTTTTTGTCATTAATATTTCCTCCCTGTACTTAGTGTGGTTCTTCTATTTCCTAAGCAACACAAAAAGAAAGGAGCTAAAAGCAGTAATGACATAGCAGCAGCAGAATCATAGAATCATAGCGTTGGAAGAGAACTTGTGGGCCATCCAGCCCAACCCCCTGCCAAGAAGTAGGAAAACCAGATCAACAATTGGGTCACACTGTCTACAGAAAACCCACACACACAGATAGATATCTACATAAAAACCTCCAACCATCACCCAAGTCAAAAAAGAAGCACCATTAAAGCCTTGGCAGACCGTGCAAAAAGAATCTGCGAACCCCACCTCCTCCAAGATGAACTGAACCACCTCAACTGGGCTCTCCAGGCCAATGGATACTCCACCTCAGACATCAGAAGAGCTGCAAGACCAAGAACAAGCCACGAGAGTAAAGATGAAGATCCACCCAGAGGAAAAGTGTTCCTGCCATACATCAAGGGAACCACTGACCGCATAGGGAAACTGATGAGGAAACACAACATACAAACTATCTACAGACCCACCAAGAAAATCCAACAAATACTACATTCAGCAAAGGACAAGAGGGATCCTCTCACCTCTGCAGGAGTCTACCGTATACCATGCAGCTGTGGACAAGTCTACATAGGGACCAACAAACGCAGCATTGCCCAAACACGAATCAAGGAACATGAAAGGCACTGCAGACTACTTCAACCAGAGAAGTCAGCCATAGCAGAGCACCTGATGAACCAACCTGGACACAGCATATTATTTGAGAACACAGAAATGCTGGACCACACCAACAACCACTACACAGAGAAGCCATTGAAATCCACAAGCATGTGGACAATTTCAACAGAAAGGAAGAGACCATGAAAATGAACAAAATCTGGCTACCAGTATTAAAAAACTCTAAAATTACAACAGCAAAACAACAGAGAGGAAACTACCAGGCACAGGTTAACACCTCCCAGCAAGAGATTTTCCCAGGCTCAGGCAGGCCTTCAAATGCTAATGAAGGTGATCAGCTGAAACATTCACACCTAACTGCAGCAGGGAAGAGCTCTTTGCCCCACCCCAGCCATTCCACAGATATATAAACCCATTTTCTACTTCCAACAGACCTCACTACCTCTGAGGATGCTTGCCATAGATGCAGGCGAAACGTCAGGAGAAATGCCTCTAGAACATGGCTCTATAGCCCGAAAAAACCCACAAGAACCTAGTGATTCCAGCCATGAAAGCCTTCGACAATACAGTAGGAAAATTGCAGTCAAAGCATCCCCAACAGATGGTCATCCAGCCTCTGGTTAAAAGCCTCCAAAGGAGATGCCTCCACCACACTCCGGGACAGAGACTTCCACTGCTGAACAGCTGTCACAGTCAGGAAGTTCTTCCTGATGTTCAGATAGAATCTCCTTTCCTTAAGTTTGAATCCATTGTTCCGCGTCCTAGTCTCCAGGGCAGCAGAAAACAAGCTTGCTCCCTCCTCCTTATGACTTCTCATATACATGGCCATCATGCCTTCTCTTCTGCAGGCTAAATATGCCCAGCTCTTTAAGCCGCTCCCCACAGGGCTTGTTCTCCAGAGCTTTGATCATTTTAAAAGCCATCTTTACAGAAGGTATGGTGCAGAATAAGTTACACCCCACTGAAAACAATGCAAAAAGCCACACTACAAGCCTACTTATGTACATTCATAGATAAACTTTAACTGGTTTTACTGTTACATAGATATGGAAAGAATTCCCTTCTTTGACATCACTAATAAATTTCATTGATTTCAACAGGAACTATAGGGAACTAACTAAGGTCTGAATCCAGCTCTGTCCATTTACCAAACATACACCACACACACAATTGACTTTGAAGTAGAGGGGGAAAAAGGACCTAGCCAGTCAAGATCCAAACCAGATATGACTAGTATTAAAGTGCAAAGATACATTTTGTACCAATGGTAAATAAATTTCATTTCATGCTTGAATGCAGACCTGCATCAGGGGAAAATAAACATGATGGTTGATGGCATTATTTCAGTTATTTTATTATACGGTATGTTATTGCATATAAATGATGTCTGGAAATGTCTCAAGATATTATGTTAGATGGGAGAAAAGACAAGAGAACCATCTCTGCTGCACAGCAAGAAATCACAAATAGGGGCAAGTAGCCATGGGTACACTCAAATTTTCATCAAAGGACTGAATGCTGTATTGAAGACTTTCACTTGAAGTCTGGTGCCTTTCAGATGTGTTGGACTATAATTCCCATCCTCCTCAGACAGCCTGACCATATATTGGTGAGGGTGGATAAAAACTGTTTGGAGATTGGAGAAGGTTGCCTTTTTTATTTGGTGCTTGCTAAATGCGAGCTGAAAAGTCTCATTTATACAGGTGTGGTTGAAAAATTTCATTCATTATGGCCCGGATCAAGTTGCACTGATGGATGAAGCCAGTAAGGAAAGTTCAAAAGATATTATTCCTACCACCATGCAGCCCCCAGGTGTCTTCAATATCAGCTTAAGATGACTGGGAAACTGTTAGAAGCACAATTTTGAATGGAACTATGGCTAAATCTGGAGCCCCCAGTGGCGCAGCAGGTTAAACAACTGAGCTGATGAACTTGCTGACCAAAAGGTTGGCGGTTCAAATTTCGGGAGCGGGGTGAGTTCCTGCTTTTAGGCCCAGCTTCTGCCAACCTAACAGACTGAAAACATGCAAATGTGAGTAGGTAACAGCACTCCATGCAATCATGCCGGCCACATTACCTTGGAAGCATTTAAGGACAACACCAGCTCTTCGGCTTAGAAATGGAGATGAGAACCACCACCCTCACTCCCACCCCTGGTTGGAAATGACTACACTTAATGTCAAGGGGAAACATTTAACTTTTATGGCTAAATCTGAATTTTAAACAAGAAAAATGGGAGTCATAACAACTCAGAGGTGAAGCTAGTACCACATCATCCTAGATTTGTTTACAAGCACAGCAAAAGTGGAAGCTGTCAGCAGCAAGCAGGACTATGATTAGGTATGGATGAGAAAGAGGAATAGATAAAAACTGATGCCAGGAAGATACACAATTTAAAAGGGGGCGAGGAGTAATTTTGGAAATCTACTTCAGGAAGTGAAATGTTTTTGAAGACTCCACTGCATCACATTCCTAAGCAGCATTCTGATTTTCGTTCCTCACTCTGCTTTCACACGCTGAGCAAAGAGGACTCCTCTCTAAATAAACTTATTTTCACTGGATGCTGAACAGTTTCCTTCAGTCAGAGCATTTATTACATCCAAAGAAGTAGAAAGGAATAAAACACATACCCAGCTCTTTCTTTACTTATTTTTCTGAATGCACCAGAAGATGCAATTCGGCCGGTATTTGCATCTAGCACTGTCCTTTCGTCTGTAGGAGTAAGAGTGGTGGGTTCACTGAAAAATAAGGACACCATGACATCAGCAGTGCCCCTAAGTCATTCCAGGCCTTAATGGCAACATTTATATCATAACACTGTCATGATTAAAGGAATGAAATTTTTCTGAGTTTGTAGAAGCATAAATGTATAGAATCACCCCTTTCTTTTTTTTTCTTTTGTGGCTGCAATATATTCCTTTCCCATTTTGGGGTAGTACAACAGTCTTATATATGTCTTTTTATGTGAGTCTCTTTTTATGGGAGTCTGTTCAAACCTTTGATATTCCAAGTAAGACTCTCCAGTTCCATATTTACTTTGGGGTGTTTAAACTACCTTTGTTTCTCTGTGTTTCTTCTCCCTCCCCATCTGTCCCTTTATCCTCCTCTCCTTTCCTCCTTTATCTTATAGTTCAGCCTCTTCACTTTTCTGCTGATTTATCTAATTTAAATCTGTTTCTTTTATACAAATCTTTTGCCTTTGTCACCAAATCTAGAACATATTTCTCTCTTTAAAGGATAGAGATATCCCTTCTAGGTTTTGCCATCTAAATAGAACTCCTTGTTTTTATAATTTCTTGGTAAAAAAAATTGTATTCCCTCCCTTTTTTTGTAATATTTTTATTGGTACAACTTTCCAGACATAAGCTATATATGTTTATAGCAAAAGTACTGTATGTACTCAAGTATAAGTTGATCTCAGGTAGATGTTGAGGGGGGCTTTGGGGCCAAAATTATGGATAAGGTGAGGATCATTCCTCAGGCATTCAAAAAGGCCAGAAGAAAAATTAGATGGGTCAGGATAAAGTTTCATAGACTCACGGTTCTGGTAGTTTAGCATTTACTAAGATTATAGCACGTCGATCATTAAGCTCCTGACAACTGAGTTCCTCCAGTGACAACAGTTTAACCCCAGGTTTTACCTAGAGAGAAAGAAGAACATCACCGAGTCACCTGCCATCTCCATTAAGCTCATGGACAATCAATGGCCGTGTTCACACATACTGTTAAATAATAAATTAATAATACATTTACAGGTTCACATAAAATGCTCCCCACACATACAGCCAAAATAGGAAGAAAAAACAGAATTTGCTTTCATTTTTGTGTATGTCTGGTATGTTGTTATATGTGAACAAGGAATTGTGGTCTAAAATAAACAATGGCTGGTTAAATAAACCAGAGGAACAACCTTAGAGGGGTTTTTTTTGTTTGTTTTTACTGTTAGCTTGTTTAATTTACAATTGCTTGCTCACAGATAACTGGACAGGAATCTGCTAAAGGAGGGATGGGAACTGTGAGTATCTCCAGTTGTTGTTAAACTGCAACTTCTAATAGCTTTAACTGGTGTAGTCAAAGATTAAGACTGCAGGTGAGCGGGGGGGGGGGGGGCAGTTCTACATCTTGAGGTCCACATTAAGTCTTACAGTGACCTGGACTATGATTTCAAACCTGCGTGATTTAAACAATGTTTTAGTAATTTTAAAGCATTAACGAATTGTTTTAATTGCTTTTATCATTTATTAACTGTTGTTGGCAACCCTCCGGGCTGAGAAGGACAGGATACAAATATGCCAAACAATAAATAAATAAATAACAAACCAAAGGGGAATTCTGATTTATTCCTTTTCCTGGGACGGGGGCTTCACATGAGCTTCTTTCCATTTACTCACAGAGTGCTAAATCATGGTTTAAGGTTACATGTGAATACTTCCTATATTCAAGCAGTCAACATCAAATTATAAACAGGGAAAGGAAGGTTTATTTTGTACACACATTCTTAATGTTGTTACTTTTCTGAGTGATTTTGATTTTTTGACACACCACTCTAAAACAAGCTCACTCTTCAAATCATTTCAGGTTGCATTAGTAAAAATAACATTTTAATAAATTGATAGATTTATTGTTCCACTTTTTAAAAATGACAAACACATTGGTATGCTTCTGTTAAGTATTTAGGTTAAAGAAAAAATGGAAATGAATGAATATTGTTTAAGTGTCTTTTTCTGCCTTTTAAAATAAAGAGAATAGTAATTGCACATAAAAGGAAGCTAGATTACAACAAAACAATATCCAAAGCCAGAAAGGCTAAGCCAAATCAACAATTTCTCTGACAAAAGCAAATTATTGTTTTAATTTACTTGGAGACTCGCTGGTAGCTTAATAATGGGGAATGAGAAATATCTGGTTACTAACAGCAAAGATTATTTTACTTTAACTTTATAAGCAAATTGAGGCTATGGGAAAGGCATCAATGTTAGTTACTAGTGCTGCGTGCTCCCCACTTCTCAAGCAACGAGGAGATCCAGGAGTAATATGACTGACAGTTGGCTTGCTCTGGGGACTGTCAGGGACTTAACAATACTTGGTTTACTTACCAATGTAGGGCAAGAGTATTTGTTGTTTATTTGTTCAGTCACTTCCGACACTTTGTGATCTCATGGACCAGCCCACGTCAGAGCTCCCTGTCAGCCTTGGGCTCCTTCAGAGTTAAGCCAGTCACTTGGTCACATGTCCTTGGTCAGCCCCTCTTCTTTTTCTTTTCATTTTCCTCAGCATCATTATCTTTTCCAAGCCTTCCTGTCTTCTCATAATGTGGTCAAGGTACTTCATCTTTGCCTCTAATATCCTTCCCTCCAGTGAGCAGTTGGGCTTTATTTCCTGGAGTATGGACTGGTTGGATCTTCTGGCGGTCCAAGGCACTCTCAGAATTTTCCTCCAGCAGCACAGTTCAAAAACTTCTATCTCCCTTCGCTCAACCTTCCTTATTGTCCCGCTCTCACACCCATACGTTACTACGGGGAATACCACTGCTTTCACTATGTGGTTCTTCGTTGCCAGTGTGATGTCTCTTCTCTTCACTGTTTTATCAAGATTGGCCATTGCTGTCCTCCCAAGAAGTAAATGTCTTCTGATTTCCTGGCTGCAATCTGCGTCTGCAGTAATCTTTGTGCCTAGAAATACAAAGTCTGCCACTGCCTCCACATTTTCTCCCTCTATTTTCCAGTTATCAATTGTTCTGGTTGCTATAATCTTGGGTTTTTTATGTTTAATTGCAATCCAGCTTTTGCACTTTCTTCTTTCACCTTGGTTATTAGGCTCCTCAGCTCCTCCTCGCTTCCAGCCATCAGAGTGGTATCATCTGCATATCTAAGGTTGTTCATGTTTCATTCAGCAATTTTAACTCCAGCCTTGGATTCATCAAGCCCCACATGTCACATGATGCGTTCTGAGAGATAGTGAAATTGATTTACCTGCCCGTAATCATAGAAACCATCTGAAATGATGTTATTGCATGATATATAGCCCATTTGACTATACTTCTGGGAAAGATTGTGATCAAGTATTTTTTCCAAAGCTGCTTCACTGAAGTTATTTTTACGCCCAATGGATAGGTTAATTTCTTCAAGAATGTCTAAGGCACTGTTCCAAAGAAGCAAAACAAAAAATTAAAAAGGAAGTATTTCCAATTCATTGCAAAACTTCATCTTTTTCCATGATATTCCTTTACAAGAAGATTCAGACTAGTTACTATAGTTGTTTGTAATCTTTCAGCCTTATTCCTCCCTCTCCCTCTACACACACACAAACACACTAACAGACATATAACACATAGTGGAAGGGATGTGGCACAGCTAGTTAGTAGCCAGCTGCATTAAATCACTACTGACCGAGAGGTCATGAGTTCGAAGCCAGCCCGGGTCAGAGTGAGCTCTCAACCATTAATAGTCTAGCTTGCTGTCAACCTATGCAGCAGTTGCATCTGTCAAGTAGGAAATTTAGGTACTGCTTTATGCGAGGAGACTAATTTACGACACCATAAAAAACCTTCCAGCAGTGTGTGTAAGAATGAGAAAGTACTCCATCAAGGACTCGGTGTCACAAGTGGACGGTGAAGCGGCAGCTCCACCTGTGGCCGGAATCGAGCATACCCTCATGAAGCTGGAAAGCTGGAATGTTAAATTGCCTCTGTGTCTGTCTATATATGTTTTATGTCTAAATGGCACTGAATGTTTGCCATATATATGTGCATTGTAATCTGCCCTGAGTCCCCTGTGGGGTGAGAAGGGCGAAATATAAATACTGTAAATAAAAACATAGTAAATAATACAACATCATAGCTGCAATGGTACAAGAGTATGCCTGGGTTACTAGAAAGAACAGTGCTATTTCCCAATTCAGTTTGTGAAATAATTTCTCTCAAACATCATTTAAGTAAATCTTAAGAAACAAGAATCTCCATATCTGAAATGATAACAGAAGTCACAATAGTTTTATCCATGCACAAGAAGGAAATTATCAGCAGGCTTGGTTCGCTTACCCCAGCCTGGTCATTTCAGCAGCTGTCAGTTCATCCCCTGCACACACCATCACGGCCCAACAGGCATTTCTTCGGACTTCATTGTTCTTAGAATGTAGGAGTTTTACAAGAGGATCAAGACCACCTGAGTTCCTCAACTAAAAAGACAACACATTGAGAAAAAGAGACCAACTGGACAGCAAAAGGTATGTTCCTTCCACAAATGCTATATTGTTACTACATGCCTCCTATGCAGGTTGACATGTAGATTTACATAAACACATGCAGAGCTGGTGTCAGAAGTCAATATCATCCGATACTTGCCTAAACCCATTCTCTAGCAAGGAGACAACTGCTAAGCCTCAGAGTATCTTGTGCATGCTACTGCTGCCTATTCAACTTCCTTCTCTGTCTGAGCAATGCAAAGAATTCTGAAGAGGAGTAGTAATGTCCATATGCTTTGCTCTCTTGCTCCTTCCAAATGTTAGGGAGAAGAAAACAAATCACCACCTGAAACAATGGTGAAAAGGAAGGGCATGTTCAAAGAGACCTGCCCTGGAAGAATCTCTTCTATTAACAGCATCTGTTCCCTGAACCAGCGACAAAGGATGGCTCTCACACATAGCCAGTTTTTGGATGTCTCTAGATGGAGCTCACTCATAGCCAATTTTTCCAGAAGCCAGACTGAGGTGCTCATTCATAAGCACATAGGCCTGTGTATAGCTTGTTAATATAAATTTAGAAAAGAGTGCTCACGCAGACCACTCAGTCAGACTTTATTATGTTTGAAAACACCAGGATCTTAGGGGACAACTCTTTTCCAGCAGTATTCTCCGAGATGCTTTCAAATCAGAGGTCTCCAATTCCTACCTGCAATTCCTAGCATTCTCTACCACCAGCGACACTGAGGCTAATGGGAGTTGCTGTCCAATATTTGAAGAACTGCACTTTGCCACCCTATTTTAAATAAAAAAGCCAGAGACTTTGGCCCTTCTGCAAGTCAAAGAAAAAAAATGAAATGCCACAAAGAAACCAACAAAGGTACTCTTAATACCAAGAAACCTACCTGACTTTATCCAATCTGCACATGTGCTGTGGTCAGCCTGATTTTAAAGTGTTTTAACTTCTTTTAAGTTGTCTGATTTTCAGTGGTAACGACCTGATACAATTTTTGTTTTCTAAAATTATTTTTTATTTATTAGCAAAAATAAATTGTACTGTATGGCGTGATTTTTAATACTAAATATAATGTTTTTAAATGTTTAATATGTATTAATTTAATTTTAATGTTCATTGGAATTGTATGTTGCTTTAAAGTACTGAATAATTGCCTATATGTAAGCCACCTTGAGTTCCCTTCGGGGTTGAGAAAGGCGGAGTATAAATAGGGTCAATAAATAAATAATGCCACCTTGAGATCCTCAAATACAGGATGAGATATAAATGTGTGTGTGTGTATACACACAGAGGGGGGGGAATACTCATATTCTACTTTGCATCTACGGTCCTCTTTAGTTTGCACCGAGTTCATTCTGCATTTACAAAGCTTTGCAGAGCATAGTACGATGAAATTTCCAATTACATACACTGTAAGTAAAGAATATACCCGGGCCCTTATCTCTGTGTACTATCTATGCACACCTAATCTTTACTGGCTCCCAATGCATTAAAATCTAGTTACTGCTTAGTACTCTCAGACCTTTCTGAAATGTGACTGAGAAACAACCTTGAAATAGCCTGAGACATCTGCCTTTTCAAGAGCTTATTGCAATCAGATGTGGGTGTGTTAGAAAACCACAAACTAGAGACCTTTGCTCCAAAACGTATTGTAAAGCAGGGGTACTCAAACTAAGGCTTGAGTGCCAGATATGGCCCTCCAAGGTCATTTACCTGGCCCTCGCTCAGGGTCAACCTAAGTCTGAAACAATTTGAAAGCACACAACAACAACAATCCTATCTCATCAGCCAAAAGCAGGTCCACACTTCCCATTGAAATGCTAAGTTTATATTTGTTAAAATTGTTCTTCATTTTAATTATTGTATTGTTTTTAAGTGTTTTTGCTCTACAAATAAGATATGTGCAGTGTGCATAGGAATTCATTCATTTTTTTTCAAATTATAATCGGCCCTCCAACAGTTTGAGGGACGGTGACCTGGCCCTCTGTTTAAAAAGTTTGAGGACCCCTGGTGTAAAGCATGATTCAAAGAAAGGCACCAATTGTAAGATACCAGGGTCCTTCCCCAACACATATGGCTCACCTCAGCTCTGGCTTCAGCATCACAACAGACAGCAGCCACCACAAGAGCTGCTCTGCTCTGCACAATACTGTTGGTGGAATTTAGTGGTTCAACAAGTGCAGCCATTATGCCGTGGCTCTGGATGTTGAGACGCAAAGGTTCTTGTAAGGCCAGGTTTGTGAGCACAGTAGCCGCACTTGCGACAGCTCCATCTCGCTTTATGCTCAGGAGGCTGATGAGGGGTTCAATACCATCCGCTTCTGCAACAGCGCTAAGAAAAGGGATAAAAGGACGGCAGGCCCAAATCTGTGTTAATGTTTAGACCTAGGAAAGCAATGAATCTCAAATGCACTTAAATAATTAATATTGCACAAATCAACTAAAGGGCAAAGAAGCACAGGGAGAAAAGCAGTCTGGTTGGTGCCGTAAATTGTTGTGGGATGAGAAACAGTGGACATGCAACAGAGGAGCTGAGAGTCAGGGAGGTGGAAGAAAAGATAGGGGAGCAACATGGAAAATCATATGAGACCAGATGTACTTAGAGACCTAAAAGATGAAGATAAATCACTGGTCAGATCACATAGAAAGACATACAAAGAAAAATAAGCACTTGAGAGAAAGGGACAATGGAGGGACAATAGGGAAAAGTATATAGGACACTAGGGAAGTCCAAAGACCTATACAAATTATAAAGCAAGTCTTACTCATATGAATTTAGGCTAAGTATTAAGTTATGTTAAGTGACCTGCTAGAAGTGACTCGACAGTTAAATATACTGTCTCAGACCAGTCTCTTCTGGCAGGCCTATTCAGAGTATTTTAAAATTGTGAATTTTAAATTGTGTACTCGCTGTCAGCCCCAGCTTCTGCCAACCTAGCAGTTCAAAAACATGCAAATGTGAGTAGATCAGTAGATACTGCTCCAGTGGGAAGGTAACAGCGCTCCATACAGTCATGCTAGCCACATGACCTTAGAGATGTCTACGGACAACGCCTGCTCTTCGGCTTAGAAATAGAGATGAGCACCAACCCCCAGAGTCGGACACAACTGGACTTAATGTCTGGATGAAATTGATGTTTTAACTTTGTTATGTGTTTTAATTACCTGTATATGTTGTATTTGAATATGTTCCCTAACTCAATCCACAAAAAGAGGCAGGTAAGAAGGGTGTCTTATGACTTCCCATAATCATAGAATTGGAATTTTGAGCTCACTTCCTCCTGTTTGATATGGGAAATCCAGAACTAGAGAATCCCCAAGAAATATCAGATAGTTTGGTCCTCTCTTCATAGTGTTACAGCTTCCCTCCTGTTTTAACAAAGCTAAGTCAACCAAGCAAAGGAAGAAATAAAAGAAATGATAGGAGCTGCTACTTTTCTGGAGAAAGCTGGAATTTAATATGACTTGAAATGGCAACTATCATCTCCCCACTTTCTTAACATAAACGAGATGTTTGCTTCCTCAAAAATGTGGTGTTTTTGTTTTTGCTTTACAAATCTTATATATGTAGGACTGTCATGTACAATTTCATATAGACGACTGGAAGTCTAATTCTACCCCTTCTTCACTTTGAATTTATGGAACCTCTTGTGGCGCAGTGGATTAAATCCTTGTATCGGCAGGACTGAAGACTGATAGGTCAGCAGTTTGAATCCGGGGAGTGGGGTGAGCTCCCATCTGTCAGCTCCAGTTCCCCATGCAGGGACATGAGAGAAGCTTCCCACAAGGATGATAAAACATCAAAACATCCGGGCATCACCTAGGCAACATCCTTGCAGACGGCCAATTCTCTCATACCAGAAGCAACTTGCAGTTTCTCAAGTTGCTCCTGACACAAAAAAACCTTTGAATTTATCTAACAGTACCATACTCTGAAAAATTGAATGCTTTCTTTTATATGCCTTCATAATATTATTTCTACAAACAACATAATAAGCCAAACTGACTATCATGTCATAGTCATTTTATATTAGGCTCAACAAAACTTGACAATGGTATAAGCACAGGAAATATAAGGATGGAAAGCTCTATTTTGAATGTGCTGTAGCATTTATATCAGGTGCAACAACATCCTTTGCATCTTCATTTAGAACTGAGTTCTAAATGTATATGCTTAAATTTTCCATCTTAAAATGCAATGTATTGTCGAAGGGTTTCATGGCTGGAATCATTGGGTTGTTGTGTGTTTTCCAGAAGCATTCTCTCCTGACGTTTCACCTGCATCTATGGCAGGCATCTTCAGAGGTTGTGTGGTTTGACCTCACAACCTCTGAGAATGCCTGCCATAGATGCAGAAGAAATGTTAGAAGAGAATGCTTCTGGAACATGGCCATACAGCCCGGAAAGCACACAACAACTCAATTTTATGCATTGGTATGCTAGGTACAAGGAAATGAACTAACTGAACTAAGATAAAGTATCTAAATGAATCTTAAAAGATAAAAAATACCGACTCCTACAAAAAAAACCCACCACCTTTCACACTCCAGTGTTATGGCATTATGATTCCACCTTTAACTGCCATAAATACTTTCCAAACCAATCTGAGTTAAGGACTGCAGTCTTCCTAGCTGTAAAAATCTCTTGCACTATCTCATTAGAGGCCCTCTTTTTTCAGTAGGCTGATGAACTACCATGAACCAAGAAGTCATATACATGTTAAGATCCCCATCCCAGCCACACTAGTCTATAAGACATTTTCATTTAGTAACTCTTCTGTATTTCCATATGTAAGGTTGATTATATTCAGGCCAAAACGTAAGATTTCAGTTTAGAAAGGTATAATTAAATATAAACACCGTAAATTTTATCCTCTCCATATTCAGAGCACAATCCTATAAAAGTGACATTGTATGTTCTCTGCCATACAAAGCCAGTTGTCTAATACTGATTCAATGGTATGCTGCTGGAAGTATGCGAATAGGGCTGTCCAACCACGGAAAAATTTGTTTCTAAACTCTATTCGTTTTTAGGGGGTTTTTGCATTTCGTTATTTAAAAGAATTCTGAAATTTTTCTTTTAAAAAGTTCGATATTTACGAAATTTCGGAAATTACGAAACAATTTCGAAACAATAATGAATTGATTCGTTAATGGCGGACGTGATTGCGCAATACGCTAAAAAACCCTCCAAATGGGACAGGGGGAACTTCTGAAGCTTCCCTCTCCCTCTGTTGTTGACTGTTGGTGTGATAAAAAAATTTTTATCACTGATAAAACAAACAACGACTATAAAACTTGCACCAGACATACGGAAATAATAACGAAATAATAACGAAACAATTTCGAAACAATTAGGAAACAATTTTGAAACAATTTCGAAACGAATTGAAAAAATTCGTTTTGTTTTTTAGTTGCTCCTGAATGGTTCAATATCGCTTCGTTATCAAAAAAAATAACGAATTAATAACAAATTACGAAATTAACGAAACCGCCCAGCCCTATATGCGAATACATTTTGTGGCAATTTCTTCACTATGCCACTAGGTGTCAATGTTGAGACACATCATCACAACAAAGGCTTGCTATTTTACTCCAAGAACAGAAGCTTAGGGAGAAGGGGAAAAAACAGAATTACTTATATGCCTCTTCTGAACTCTGTGTAATAGTATTATTTCTGTTCTGATGATCTAAAAAATGCCACGTAATTTTTTGTTGTGTGCTTGCAAGTTGTTTCTGATTTATGCCGAACCTATCACAAGGTTTTCTTGGAAAGGTTTGTTCAGAGAGGGTCTGCCTTTGTCTTCCTCTGAGGCTGTCCAAAGTAACCCAGTGGATTTCCATGGCCAGTGGGGATTTGAACCTTGATCTCGTAGTCGAATGCTCAATCCACTACATCATGCTGGCTCCCAAAATATCTGGTATCCCCAGATATTGTATCATTCAAGTACTCACGAGGACTACCTTAGCCTAGCTTAGCTTCTGAGATCAAATGACATCAGATGTGTTTATGGTGGTATGGCCAAAGGCTTATTTTCTTGGGGGGGGGGGGGGAATCTGAATTTCCTCTTTGGAGATTGTAATAAGACTCACTTTCTGTCTGAAATTGCCAGTGAATGAAAAGTAATTGCAAAATTCATGCTCACATTTTGGAGCCCATATCAATCAGCAGCAGGATGCCTCATGAATTTTCCATCCAGTTAAGGATGGAGGTCTGAAATGGGTGGAGTGAGAGATCACAGCTAAGAGTGTGAGGTTGTACTTAACCTATGGATTACACCCAATATAATTACTGAGTAACCTTCCTATTCCAAAGAGAAACTCTCTTGAAGCATCCATGCCATAAGTAGATGAGGGTTAATCCAGGCAAGATGGAAAGTTGTTGGTCAGTAGGAAAACTAACTCAGGTTGGAATTACAGCCTGTTCTGGCTGGGGTTGCACTCTCTCTGAAAGATCAGATTAATAGCTTGAGGGTGCTCTTGAATGCAACAATGCTCCTGGAAAGTCATCTTGCTTTGTCCAGGAGATTTATCCAATTTTGGCAGATGCAGCAGCTGCACCATTTCATGGGGAAGGCAGATTGCCTACAGGAGCTCATGCCTTACTTACTTTTCTAATTCAACCCCTTCCACATAGCTGTATAACATCCAGATTGAACTGGATTATATGGCAATGTGGACTCAGATAACCCAGTTCAAAGCTGATATTGTGGATTATCTGTCTTGATATCCTGGATTATATGGCTATGTGGAAGGTCCCTTGAGGGCTTCCAGTTTTCCTACTGCTTCCATTTTACCAAATGTTATTAGCTGTTCCAGTGAGCCATGTCATCTCATGATATGTGCAAAGTACAATGGCCTCTCTTTAATTGTCTTGGCTTCTAGTGAGAATTCAGGACTGATTGGCTCGAAGACCCATTCATTTGTCTTTTTTAGCAGTCCATGGTGTTTGTAAACCTCTCCTTCAGCACCGCATGTCAAATAAGTTGATTCTCTTCTGGTCAGTTTTCTTCATTATTCAGTTTTCACAACCATATACAGAATTCAGAAATCAGAAATACTATAACATGAATAATTCTGACTTTGGCATAGAATATTTTTTACATTTGAGCATCTTATTTTTCCAAGTCCTAGTCTTCTTATCTCTTTACTAATTTCTTCATTTTGATTTAGGACTGAGCCAAGGTATACACAATTTTCTGACATCTTCATCATCCATTTTCAAGTTATGTTAATCACTTGTAGTCATGATTTCTGTTTTTCAGCTGTTTTACAGTTTCATCCTTGTTTAATAGCTGTTCCAAATCTGCCTTCTCCTGCAATTAGTATGGTG